TAATAATAATAATAATAATAATAATATCTATGTTGGAAGCCAGCAAGCAATCTCTCAGCTGGGCAACCACTGCATTCTTCTGAACTTTAAAATCCAACGAAAGAAAGATATGAACCCATAAATAATTTAAAAACAAATCAAACATAAAGAGAGCATGCAACATAGAGAAAACACTGCAAAAACTGTTTAAATAGATTCATGGGTTTTTTTTTATTTATTTAATGACTTAAAAAGGTGCAGTAGCAAAAGTGCTTTTTTTTCTCCATTCCTGCATGGACCAGTTTCTTTCTTCTAGTTGCAATAGTTCTCTAGCTCATAGAGAGAGCAGGTGTTTTCACAGCATTGCTCCACAATTCCTCTCTTGGTTTTCTGAAATTCTTGGAGTGGTACTTCCACCTCATTCGATAAAGGACCATTCACTACCAAATAAGAGAAGACCAACATTAGATGGACCTTTGAAGTGTTTTCAACAGAAGGTATATTCATTTGGACTTTCTGTTTCAGTTTGGCATCCCCAACGATGCTATAATGTCTCTGCCTTTCCCACCCACAGCTGCATTTGGGGCTGAGTGGGATTCAAATATGTGAACAACCGGTTCTCTGTGTGGAAGCCGCTTCTGGAAGTCCATTCTGGGCCTGGGCAACAAAAAATTGGCTACCGGTTCTGCCGAAGTGTTGCAAACTGGCTGAATCCCACCACTGGGCTGAGTTTAGGTTGAATATTATTGATTATTTTTGACAGTTTCATCCTTCTCCTAGCTGAACAAAAGTTAATGTTAAAGGAACTTCCCTATTCTGCTGTGTGATAAATGTCTGGGGAATTTTTGTGGAATATACCTGCTTTGTCCCTGCTATGGCTATCAGATTGTCCTGGTACTAGATTATTGTATTCTGAGTCAGTTAACTGAAACTGAGCTGTTTTAGATCCTGGTTCCACACTGCACACTTTCAACTGAGATTAGCTAGCAACAATAAAGCAAAGCTAAATAGTAACAAGGTGGAAAGACTATGGATTAGTATTTTACAGATCGGGAAACTGAGTATATCTCCAGGGTTGGATGGGGCTGTATTTTCCATTCATCACTGCCACTGATAAACTCCCAGATTCATCACTGTCCTAGCTTGCTATCTCCAAACAAATAAAAATGTACAGTAGTATGATGGTCTGATTTTTAGGGTCTTGAATAATTGATGTGTTTCTCATCTTACATGCTACATGACAGTCGGCTTTCTTTTTAGCATGTTGTGCCTACAAGTAATGAGTCAAGATGGTTTGCATAAAAACCAAGTGTAAAGAAGGAACTAGACTTCTTCTCTGCATTTGAAATGAGAAATATGATGCATATTTTTTCCCCAGCAGGATGCATTGGTTTTGGCAGCACTTGGCAAACTCCTTGTGGAACTTTTGATTCAGGGATGCTTCTTGGTCTGTCTACTGACTTTTAGGAAAACAGTTAAATTACATTATTATTGCCATAGTAGCACTATATTATTTCCAGGCTACCAAAAATAACAGGAGAATTGCTGTCAAGTTGGCAGCAATTGACCATGAACAGGAGGCTGCCTCACTGACAAATGGAAAATGCCACTTAGGAGATGTATGCATCTTGGATATCAGTCTATTCCATTCTCCATTTAACAGTAGAATAATCAAGAATCAATCCGGGTAAAACAGAGGGAATAGCATTTCCTAACTTCAAACCCATTTAAATGCATTGGTAAGCAGTGTCCTACCACAATCCCCAACCATGTCTATGGGAGTTGTATCCCAATACTTCTAGAAGGGGAAAGGCTGAGAGAAAGAAAGAAGCCAAATGCCATTTTTTACTCATCGAAGAACTAATTTGGGAAGTTTGCTTTCATAGCCTCCTCTCCTGAATTATTTTGCTGGGTAATTAAAGTTGTCTATGAGCAGTGTTTGCCAGATTCTGGATGTGTATTTCCCTATTTACCATATTTATAGATTGCCCCAATCAATCAAGACTCAGAAAGGATCACAACAAGAAAAAGACATTAAAATAACCCAATTGAAATAGGCAGCAATAATGATGAACCAGATGGTTGCCAACAGCCACCCTATGAGTCAAGATCTCATTGAAACTAAATTATTTCCAGTGCTTCCTGGAAGGTAGGGAGGGTTGGCGTACAGCTTCTCTGGAGACAGCTTGTTTCATAGTCTGGGGGCTACTAAAAAGAAGGCCCTCTCGTGTTCTGACTGGATGGGGGAAATAATGTTTTCAAAAGCAATCCTTGATATATAAACACCCTTATCTATTTTTCTTACTGTCTGCCTACCAGGGGGTGAGTTATAAACAGATTCACCAGGTCATACTACAGACAGGGCATTTTAGGAAATTAGAAAGTTACCTAGTGGTTGTTCCATGTTCCGTCGTGACCTGGGAGAATAGTAGAAGCCCCGCTCTCCACATATAAGGAAAAGGGCCTCCACCAGATGAGAGCCACATAGACGCTGGTTGGGAGCAGCTTGGCTAACTGTAGGAGCTGAAACAGCCAGCAGCAACAGGAGAGGTAGGGAATGGATCCAAAGAGCCATGGTGATGTAGATGAAACTTTGGAAAGGAAGAATCCAACAAAAACATAGCTTTAGAATAAAAAAGGATAACATTGATTGCCACCTTCCATATTTTACCATGCAGCAGCTGTCTCTGGACAATTGCCCAGTCACTTCATGTTATAGGGTAGACTGGTGCATAAGGAACAACATCCTAGCAACTGCAAAGGGGTACAATTTCTTTCCCTTTCCCCTTTTCCTTCCCATTCACACCCCAACGAACTTGCCCTCTTGCCTGTTGCTTGAATGGCTGTGGGTTTTCTCTACTGAAGAGTTACTTGCTATGCCCTCCCTATATGAAGTGGGCAAGCTTTAGTGGTAAAATGCTATTGGATGTGACATATTTATTTCATAGTTTTAATTCAATGACATGATCTTAAAGAAGTACATGAAATATTTTACAAACTTGGATTAAGATGTAGAAAAACAGCCTGTGTTGGAATCGTGGGAGAATTCCAAGATAAGAGATATTGGATGGTGGAAGGGATTAATTCCTCAGGGAGATAGTGAGCTGAATATATTTTAAGTAGTGACTGGATAGTCCTTTGTCATGGACTGAGCATGGATGTTGGTCTTGATAGTTTAAGTAGCCCCTTCCAACTATCTGATTTTATGAAGATAAAGCATGGGTGAGAGAGTCAGTTTTTTCTAGTGGTTAAGGTTAGACAGTTGGGATAACAGGAGACTGTGATCCCAACTGCACTTTCTTGGTTTATTTTCTTGAAAACAATTCACTTCACCAAGAAGCTTCAGTTCAGTTCTTCAGAACTGAAGAAGCTTTTTAGCTGAGAAGTGAAACGTTTTCAAGGACAAAAAACCCCCAAGAAAATCCAGTTGCCTTTTGAAAAGCACCTTCGGGACAACCATGACCTGGATGATTGAGAATCTATATAGACAGGAGAGTGCTAGTCCTGCCTTAGGCATGAAAGCTGGCTAGGTGACCTTGGGCCAGCCACACCCTCTCAGTCCTACCTACCTCACAAGGCTCTTCTTGTGGGAGAAAATGAGAAGTGTTGACTTTCAGATAGCACAGGGACTTTTTGCTATGCATCATAAAGTTTTTTTTTTAAAGAGAACTAGGTTATAAGAGTACTGAGCGAAGTGCTCTTCACTCATTTATTTATTTGTTTATCAAATTTAGATACTGCCCATCTAATTCCCAGAGTGACTCTGAGCAGTGTACAGTTAAAAGCAGAAAAACGTAAAACCATATATTAAAAAGTGCAATACATCAGTAAAAGAAGCCAGGTAGAAAAAAAAAATAAGTTAAAAATCAAAAGGATTGATGGTTGCCAAATCTGGGCTGCAAAAATCTGGCCAACCAGTAGATGGCACAAAAAAGTTAAAAAGTTTTCTATCTCTTTTTTGCAGTCTAGATGTGGTAACCCTAATCCAAGTTTCTTCCCAAGGACTGGGATGAAATAGGAACGTTAATAGAGAGAAATAACATCAAACTTTTTTAAACCATAGCAATTCTGAAGATAGGTATAAAAATATAGGCGCAATATTGAGAATGAGGTAGAATCCTAGACCTCATTCCACATAAAATAAGACTACAAATTCCACAAAGTTCCTAGTGGATAAATTAACTAGTCATTTACTAACATATTATACAGTAAATCACTCATACCACATGTATCGAATTAAGTAAGCTGTCCCACATCATAAAAAAAAACTCTGAAAACACTTCAACACTGCCAATATTTTCAGAGAGAGAGAAAAAAATGAAAATCATGGAAAATGCCTTACCTGTCAGGTCTCAAAGCTAGTAACTTTCTGTTGCAAAGAACACCATCTGGCTGATTATTAATACTGTGGAAAAAACAGCCATTAAAGTAGACCCCACCCACTACTTCTCACCAAAGACCCTTGTTAATCCTTTTGAATAAAACAAAACATTTTCAACAAAGGAGGGCTGATAAGAGTGGGTTTATCTATTTAAGTCTGTTGAAAGGCACTAGTGATAGCATTTGCTCACTTATGGTGAGGGAGGAAGTGAGAGAAGTAAAGAGATAGGAAGTGGGAGGTGGGACAAGGCATGAATTCTCCACACCATTCCAGTTCTACCACTCTAAAAAGTAAATGGGAAAACTCCTAATTCATGCACATCAGCTCAGCTATCCAATCTAAGCAACACTGGGATAGTCCAGGAGCAGTGCCAAAGCCTGTGTAGAAGTGCTCAGCGACCCAACAGCAGAACACAATCATAACAGGTTCACATTGGCTACTTTTAATAAAAGCTGAGGGGGAGAAATGGAATTTGATTCAAACTAAAATTTAACATTAAGAATTAAGGCTGCTCCTCTATACTCTTTAAGGTCTACATCCCACCCTCCATTGCTGGTTCTATGACCCCAATAAAGATTTGATCTGAAGGCTGAGAGAAAGTGGGGAGTGGAAGGCAAGAAAGAAACAACACTTCCAGTTATAAATGTTCTAATTTTGTTACAAACAAAGCACTAATGCGTAAATGAATGGCAAAGGAGAGATGTAAGCCAAGGATTTGGATTATGGATTGGTTGAGAGTCTAAGAAGTGAGGAATATACAGAAACCAAAGTTCATTTCACTGGAGTTCTGTAAGAGTTCCTGCTCGGATGATGCAGAATTAACAGCAAGTACAAAGCAAATCAATTTATAAAACTCATTCTTCCCTCAGTGTGCTATGATCAGTTATACAAGCCCTATCATTAAAAGATCAATTTCTTCCCCTTCCTCCATTTCCTATCCTAGCATCACTGGAAAGTACCTATTTTTTCCAGATCCCAAGAACTCTGAATATGCTCACAAACTTCAAAAATTCTCAGCTCAGTTCCATACAGAAAGCCACAGAATCTCTCTGAACTCCATGGATTCATGGAAATACGTTGCATGCCTATTTGAATTCCAAACTTTTGAGGGCAAAATAAAGCAGACTTACCAAACCAAGATGACAGTGCAAGGATGCTCAGAGTTAAGGGGAATATGTAACTCCCGTCTCATCTCCTTGCCATATTTATAATCCAGAGAGACAAGATTTTACTAGATCAACATGGTGATTTTTTTTTTTGCTGATTTAAGCACATTAAGTCTTAAAGATAAGTGGGGGGAAATAGTAACAACAGCTTGTTGTTTCCATCTCATTTCACCAGTAGCCTGTGTTTGCTTCACTGAATCTCTGCCTTGAGTTGTTGTGACCCTTTTAGCAGGAGAGATAATAGGGCTATTAAACTTGTCCAATTACACTAATGCTGGACAATTGGCAATGCTTGGATTGGGATGACCACCATGCTGTCCATCTCACCAGCTGCTTCTGAAGGGCAAAATTAAGGAACAGCAAACATGTTAACACATTCAGCTAATCTAATCCATGCTGAGCAACTAGTGATAGGACAAAGTTGTTGACAAGATGCTACTCTTGCCAGGTGTTAATGTGGAAAAAAAATACTTAGAGCAAGGGATAACCAAGGCCACATTTCCCTGAAAGAAAACATGTGGGGAGCAGGTCGTGCCCACCCCAGTAGTTGAATAGCAATCACTCAAGGTTATAATAAAACTTTATGTCATGAGACTCCAGTGTCAGGATTTCTTGCCTCTTTATGAGAATAGAATTAGAATTGGAATTGGAATTGGAATTGGAATTGGAATTGAGAATAGAATAGAATAGAATAGAATAGAATAGAATAGAATAGAATAGAATAGAATAGAATAGAATAGAAATATTGTCCAGGTGTTATTGGGCACACAAGGAATTTGTCTCCGGAGCAAGGAAAGTGACAACATCTAGATCTTTTTCATCAGAGAAGAATTATGCACAGGTATGGTAGAACTAGATCAAATTATAAATGGTGTGGAGAAAATGAAAAATGAGGAACTATTTTTTTCTCATAACATCACAACTTCTCCAGTGAAGCTGAGCGATGAGCAATTCATGCCAGATCCAATGAATAACTTCTTTACACTACACAACCTTAAACTGTGACAACTGTTGCCATCACATAAGGAGAAAGAAAAATGAATAAAGCAGTTACCCATTTGGAAATATGTTCTCAACTAAAGTATGAGGGATGTCTGGTTTATATTTGAAAAAGCCACACAAGGACAGCAACTCTCCAGGTTCAAAACAAGGGAGTGTTTGAACAAAGGCAGAACAATGTATTTTCCCTCAGTAGGTGTTGAAAGCAAGATATCTCCTTTGTTTTGAGATTAATGAGATCAACTTATATTACAGGGAAGCTAGGAAAGTATTCTATGACATGTTGAAGAATAAGGTTGGGGAATCAAAGATGGGCAAGTCAATATATATATATATATATATGCAAGGGGACAGAAGGGTTGGAAAGTTGCCTTTGAGATACAGAAACCAAGAATAAGCAGAATCCATGTTTGAATAGAATATAGGTAGTCCTATATTGAGACACAACTGAGTCCCAGATTTCCATTCCTAAGCGAGACCGTTCTTGCCACAGTTGTTAAGAGAATCACTGCAGATATTAAGTTAGTAACACTAACTTAAGTTAAGTGAATCTGGCTTCTCTATTGACTTTGCTTGTCAGAAGGTTGCAAAAGGGATCACATGACCCCAGAACCATCATAAGTATGAGTCAGTTGCCAAGCGTCTGAATTTTGATCACGTGACCGTGATCAGAACGGTCGCAAGTGCGAAAAATGGCCATAAGTCACTTTTTCCAGTGCTGTTGTAACTTCGAACGATCACTAAACAAACCGCTGTAAGTCGAGAACTAGCCGTATAACCTTTTTCCAGGTTTGCCAGCAAATGAAATTTCCCAGTGATCATGGTGGATAATTAGCTTTACAAACTATTTGATGAATACTAATAAAGTACATACATCCTACCCAAATGCTCAGATGAGCTGTCGAGAATCAGCCCGGATTCTGCCCCGTGGCTGAACGAGGGAAGCCCCATAAGGCACACCCCAAGCCAAAGTGCATGGAAGTGCCACAGCACACTATTGGCAGGCGGACTAAGACAAGTGTGTGCCAG